ACATAGCGGGATATAAAATCCTGGATTACAGGAATATGTTCATATCATGCCGAGATATAGTTTCTGCCACAGTTGCTGATGTGTGTTATAGCGAGGTAAAGTGGTATAAGACTGACGTTATGTCGAGGCGCTGCTTGGAGCTGGTACAAATAACACAGGTAACATTTATAGGAAGGTATCATGTACATCCCGCTGGGTTAATCATGTTACAGGAATGTTGACAATGCGAATATATTCAATAATAAGAATAATTTCTAAATCAGACAGTAGAATGAGAGTGTTACATTGAGGTACCACTAAAGTCACGAGACACAAATGACATCAGACCTCAGAAATGAAGTTGAAGAAGTTGACAGTTTTGTCAGACGGCCATGCAGCACAAACGCAGGCTAATATTTACTCGCGATCTTACGTCACGTGACTGCATCACAAGATTACTCAACCACCTTTTTAATGTCAATTTCGCTAGAGTTTAGTCTGTACCATGTCGCGAAACTTTCCTGGATATTATGTATATTTATTTTTGCTATTTCATAATCTGTCATGATTCGGCTTGTCAATACAGCTATTTATAACTCCCTTCCCCAAGTCTTGTGTAGGTGTCAAACATGTTTGTTAGCAGATGCTCGCGCAGTACACATGCAAGTCTCAAGTGTCCATGGCGTAATTGAATTGACAACCTCACGATAAGATGTCCCATCCACCACGAGATATGTCCCTATCTGTCGTGGTATGTGACACCTGGCGACGTCTTTGACCCTCATTGTTGATTAGAACAAAGGACAAATATTTATTTTTCAAATCATCGCCCCGAATCAGTTTGTTCTTGCATCGATTTGCATTCCGGGCCATCTTACCTTTCAAGGCTCCGCACAGGGTTGTAGTTGTGTGGAGTTTGGAGCAGACGACGAGCATCAACAGTCAATACCGGCAGTGTGTATTGAAGCACGCTCGCTCTACTGTTTGCAAACTGTTTCGACAAGTACAGATTCCTGGATTACAGAATCATGTTTGTGTCATACCTGGAGATTATTTCCCCAATATTTACTGATGTGTGTTATATCGAGGTGTAGTGGTATATGATTGACGTTATGTCGAGGAGTGGCGCTGTATGGAACTGGTACAAATACCGCAGATAGCATTTATAGGTAGGTAGCATGTGCGCATTGCCCCTTCGGTTAATCCCAGTGTATGTAGTATACGTTATAAACATATGGCGTAGATTAATCTAGGATATTCCTTAATGAAGCGCGTAAGTGTAATAGAGAAATAGTTCATCGTTTCGTCATTGAATCTACACTATATAATAATTGTGGTTTGAGCCATATGTCTGAGAAGAATATTTATCGAGTGGTATGCGTTGATTTGTTTTGCTGTAATCGATAATGAGCAAGGCAGCATTGGCCAGTCGGTATCTGACTGTCAGATGTCGCGTGACAGCTTGCAAACCAGAAATGCCACATGACATAAAGGGAATCTTTGATTGACAGAGTATATAATTCACAAGCAATATGTACATCGTGTGTATCACAGAACGGCTTTACACATCACGATCTTCAATCAACAACGTGCATCCTATATCTGTGTTTGATTACCCTCGGTATGGGCTTTTGGTAATTGAAATATGGCCCAGAACTATGATAATATGGATTAATTTTCATTCAGATATCACAGCGTTGTATATTCACCAACGTAACATGCTGTTCGTTAAGTACACTAGGTATGGACTAGGGCTGATATAGTAGGGCCCTGGTCGATGGTGACAAATGCGGAACCCAATCTGAAATCGATATCCTCGGTATGGGCCAGTGAATGATATTGAAGCGCCCTGATCGAATATAAGCATCCCAGACTACGATGACATTATAGAGATAAGCCTCTTTCCTGCTAATTCAGCGATTCTATCTCAACGGTCATACTCCATTCTCTGTATATGGCATGTGTCATCTCTGATATGTGATCTTGCTGGTAAATACTATATGTATCGCCATGACAATGAAGACGACGACATTATGTTATCGGGATCATTAAATTTTTTTTTAATAAAGGACAGTTTTCATCGACAGAAAATCCATACTTCGATCTGGTCGCAGTTCGAGACAGGCGGAGTACCTATATTAAATCTTAGCTGTAATAAAAACAGTCATGAGTGAGTGAGTGAGTGAATATGGTTTTACGCCGCTTTAAGCAATATTCCAGCAATATCACGGCGGGGGACACCAGAAATGGGCTCCACACTTTGTACCCATGTCGGGAATCGAACCCGGGTCCTCGGCGTGACGATCCATGCCGAAAGTGAACACAATCACCCTGGTAACCACCCATTCGATGCTAATGTTGGTGGACTTTTGTGACATGCGTGGGGTACTGCATCCCATTTTGACCGGGGATTGTGACCGAGATATGCAAAACTACTTGTGTACCTGCACACTTCTCAAATAGTTGCGTCCCTTGGATACGCCAGAATCCTATCCAGCGTATGTTTCAAGGTTTGTCAGCACCATACCCATTCTCGTAGGTTTCACCTAAGTGGTAAACGTCTGGGACCCGCATCACTTCGGTCTTTCCCCCCAGTTAAGCTTACACGCCATGCTATAACTGGAATACTGTTGAAAGCAGCTTTAAACCCAACACACTCACTCACTCTCAAATAATGTTTGCACGATAAATTCAACAATACAGGGATATTTGATCGATCAGTGAGTCGGGGTCGTGGGCGTCGGATGTCATAGTTGACATTCAATTAAGCAGTTTAGTGTTGAAAAATGACATAAACTATGATGAAAAATACACAATTGGAGCCGTGGTGTTTGTTCCCCGTTTGATTGCATGTGTATGCTGCTTTTGAGAACAACCCGTTGACCGTGACAGAATCATATTAGAAAAAAGTTAAACAAACTAAAGACAAAATATCTTTACAAATATTAACTAAATTTTCAAAAACAACAATCACACCGGTTCCAGCAGAAATGTATTTGAGAATGAGCATCTGCTCTGACGCTTAGAGAAAGCTTGTTCATATTTAAGATCTGTTTGAACAAGGAACGACCTGATTAGTTCGTTATTCGTTATCGGCAGCTGTTGTGTGGTGTTTAACCCACACAGAGTATTTCAGTTATGATAACATGTCATACAATGTCACGATGATATATTAAAATATGTATCTTAAGAAATATTGTAAACAATATTCTAAGACCTTCATTACATCCTTAAAGAACCGTCATATCCAGTGCATTATTTGAAAACATTATATCAGAATAACCCTTTCACTTAACCCTTTCTCGTCATGGACCTTATATCTTACTGTGCACAACTTTTCCTATAAAATTCTCTGCACTTGTACACAGCAGACGTAATTCAAAATTAACATACTTTTTGTATTGGCGTTAACAAAATCAGTAATGGTACTCTCGTGTCACTGGAACTTCTGGTCGATCACTTGATTGTCTGGTTTGTTTACATGCCGCCGTCGCATGGCAGGAGTACCGCTGTGTTGCGTCAGGCAATAAATACTTACTTATTATGCAAATTGTATAAATGGTGGGTGCTACCGGTAGGGCAGGACATGCTTACCCTTTTCGCGAAAACCTGGAGTCATCACTGATTTTCAGGGGTTCATTCATATAATTTACTACAATGTGTTAAGCCCATTTCTGGTGTCCTCCGCCGTGATATTGCTGGAATATTGCTAAAAGCGGCGTAAAACCATACTCACTCACTCACTCATATAAATTACACAGCTATTGGACCTTTACGACAATTGGAATCGGTTTCGGCAGAAAATCTAGGTGATTCTCTTGTATTGACCAGAAATGTCTAATAAAGCTGCATGTATAGGCGTGTGGGAAAGTGAAACCCGGTCAATCAGAACCTCGGTAACATACGGCCAATGGCCAATGAAGGAATCGCCATCGGGAAAGTTGATAACTCAACGATTTCACTGCGACCTGGTCCGCGGTTTTACAGAAGCAAATAACCCATGTCACTCCGATCCTGTTACTTAGTAATTAGCAAGTCTAGACAGACCGAGTGCAGAAGACGTGATATTTGAAAAAAACGTTTTTTCTTTGTCTCGATCACGAAGTTGTACATGTTATACATCCTGTTGTAATTTTTATTAATGTTTTTACCGCGTTACTAAAACGGCACCGAACTCGTGGTCCCAATATCAATGTCTTGATACAGTAATACGGCCGGCAATGTTACATGTATGACACATCCTATTAAGTTGTTGACGACCAGAATCGGATCACATTAAGGTGACGCACTGACAGAATATATAACACCGTGGCAGGTAATACCAGGTATATTGATGAATTAGTCTATATGCGGTAAAAGCATGAGAACATATAGGTAGCATATTAGCTGGGAACTGTTCTTCGTCTGGAGAATATTTTTGTATTTTTATACCTTCTTTGACACCGCAACTGTTCGGTGTGCTTTAAAATATGTCTCGTCAAGAATTGTTAAAACATAAAAGCAAATTGGTTGTGAGTAGCGATTATTTTATTGACATCAAATAACATGGCACGATTAATCTTACCATACTGGTTTATGTTGCCCATTTTCACGTATTTGTAATTAATATTTACAATATTCGCACCCGTATCAATATCGGAACATTGGAAGGTATACACTTATATCAGACCATATAGTCGATCAGGGTTGTAGCACCAAGTTGCATTATATTAAGCTAAAGATCGAAGTATAAGAGTGAACGAGATATCCTGTATGCCACAGAATGAAATGGTAGAAGGAAAATTTGTACCACATTGTTCCTGAGAACACTTCTTTAATTTGAATAGATGGAAATGGACTCGATGCTATAAAATGACATGCATGCACTAGTAAGTGTTCACATCACCATGTCCGTCATCATGGGCGCCACCAAAGTGGTAACCATATGAGAATTCATTATTTTTAGCCGTTCTCCTGCCCTCCCCTGACATGCCTCGGCGTTAAGCTGAACTCATTCTCTAAAGAAACTTTTTAATTCTTAGTTCCAGCTATTCAAGATGGCGATGTCGGAGACTGTGAACCTTGACCCCCGGACCCGTTTCCTCCGCTGTTTGTTCTGCACGCACCTCTTCACCATGAACGGCCGCGAGCCCCGGATGTTGGGCTGCTGCCTGAACGCAATCTGCTCTGCGTGCGCATCAAAGCTGTGCCTTGAGAGCTCCTCGCACCTCCGTTGCCCTGTATGCCGACAATCAGTTACTATGCCCCAAGCAAACGGAACCAACGAGTCCATTGACGTCATCGACGAGTCTGTTGTAGATGGAGGCACGGTGGATCTACCGGTTGAGCTGATACGGATCAAAACCATGGAGTACCAGCATATCCAGAAGGGCCTAAGCTTTCCGTGTTTGGTCTGCAAGAAGACGCAGTCCACGTGGTTCTGCGAGAACTGTGATGGATACATGTGTGACGTATGCCGTGACGAACATAAGGAGGAAACCAAGACGAAACGTCACAGCACCGTAGCAGTACCTAACATGAAAGCCAGACAACTCAAGGACTTTAAACAGCATTACTGCAAAGATCATAGTTTCTCTAAGGTTACTCTGTACTGTACGACATGCAAACAGGTCGTATGCAACATTTGTATCAGGGAAGGTCATGACAAGGACACACATAATGTTCTCACAATACAAGAGGCTTTTGGAACCAGGATCAAACAAACTGGGAAACTGTTGTCCAAAGCGCGAAAGAAGCACAGACATTTGACAGACTACGGCCAATGCTTGAAACTGAAATCGGACAGCAACGAGGTCTCTGAGACAACCGCCAAAGAGAGTATCAATGAAGTATTCGACCATCTCATGGATATCATGCAACACCGTCGCACAGAACTACTGGCTGAGGTGGATCGTGATTCGGCCACGCTTGCAACATCAGCGACGGTGGACACCGATTCGACCGACTGTCGCCTGTCCATGCTAAACACAGCGACCGACTATGCAAAGGAGTTTAAATCTAAGGCTGACAACGTTGAGTTCTTGCAGCTCTTCCCGATGGTGTCCAACTCCCTCAAGAACGTCCTTGACATTCCCAATGGCCAAGTGCATACCACACGACAGGGTGTTGTATTCTCTCCCTGGAATCTGCAGATGGTGGAGACGTTACTGAAGACGGCGGGACAGCTACGGGTCGTCACCTACAAGCCGACAGGACGCAAGGGACGAGAGGAAGTCCAAATGAAGCCATCACTGCACCCGGAAGGTAGGTGACCGTATATGCTCATGGGAAAAAGTAACTATGATAAGTAAGTTTTTGTTTATTTGTTTGTTTGTTGTTTAACGACGCACTCCAGCTATAATCGCCTTTTTTACGGCAAGAATGGGTTGCTGAAGACCTATTCTACCGTGGATCTTCACGGGTCTGATAAGTAAGGAATCAATGACAATAACGATATGATATGGACTATGTGGTCTTACATACCTGCCATTATTGTTGTGGTTTACGAAACAAACCAGTGAAAGGGGAAGTCACGCGTCAAGTTTCTATTGCCCTTTCAAATTGCTGTACTTATCTAATGGGATAAAAAATATTAATGCTATTTTCTCACTATTCGTGAAAAAAACATAAAACTCCAAGACAGAATTTGAATTTATTATCATTATTAGATATAATCTGACTTTCAAGTGCTTCTAATAAAACTTAAAATGCTCAAAATTACGAAAAGAAGAAATTGGATATAAAGACTAATATGTTATGAAGAGTTTTTGTATCAAATACAAGTAAATAGACTGGAAATAAGTTGCCCAAGGGACGCAACTCTGCACAGCGAATCGCGGCGCCTTAGACGACTGGGCCACCCGTGCCCCCTCAACTGGAGACATATACTGTTCGCACAAAGTGACTATGGTACGGAAACTCTGTGGCGTTATCCCACTTTTAACATACAATGCACATGGAACTAATGGACTGTTTCAGGTCATGACCTGGACGTAATCACCACTCTGGAGGAACAGGGCAAGGATCTCAAGACAGTCAGGGACATTGTCTGTGAGTAGAAAACGCGTCTGACATCGGAAAGCCGTGCTCCGATCGATTCAAGCCTGAAATAGTTTCTGCACATAGAAGGCCAGCTAACTCAATGACTCTCAAGTTTCTGACGCAATGCATTATACGATTATCTGTATGGATGATGTACGCCTGGTGTATGGCAAAACGGCATACATTAGCTTGCCCATATGCATTAGGCGCATTGTGTAAATTACTAGATAAGTGTTTGTCGATTACGAAAACGATACGATTGGTGAAAAGTCAAGACACGTTGCCCTTCCTAAAATGTACATATTTTATCAATTTGGAAAGGTATTCTCATGTCTGGAGAATTTGTGGTTTGCATTACATTTGCATTTTTTGGTGATTAACTTCATAGAAATCCGTTCTCAGTTCCAAAGTACACAACACTCAGCCTGGCATTAAGGGAAACATTTCTGCTCGTGGCATTCCCCGCGTCATTCCTTGAATAATGCATATCTGTTTCAGGTTGTCATGACGACCGGGTCATCATGATTCCGGCCAATGAGGACAGAGGAACAATCCGCATTAGCTGTAAGTAATAATTTAGATATTTCTTTGACGTTTACTGTTTCAAATGTGAGATCTTTTAAGGTATGCTTCAAATAAATGTCAAGAGAGTTAATCGGATACAAAACCACAAAATCGGAGTATTTGTGATTTTATGTATGATTTAATAAAAAGTGAGTGAGTTGGATTTAACGCCGCTTTGAACAGTATTCCAGTTATATCACGGCGTGTCAGCTTAATGTGGGAGGAAAGCCCGAAATGATGCAGGTCTCAGACGCTTAGCACTGCAGTGAAACTCACGAGCACGGGTATGGTACTGACAAACATAGAAACATAATCGGGGCGAACCGGGATTCGAACTCACAATCATATTTCTGGCGTGCACAAGGGATGCAACTCTGCTTAGCGAATTGCGGTGCTTGAGACAACTGGGCCATCCGTGCCCCCATTTAATATAGAAGTTGTATAGACGAATCCTGCATATGGACGCACATTACCTAGATTAATCTCATGTAATCGTGGTGCGTGCACTGGGGGCACAGTCATCGTTAATCACAATCTAGAGTTAGGTCCCTTAGTTGCGCCAGAGAGGTAAAAGTCAATTATCAAAATCAATCAAAATCAATCACTCAACATTTTTTTTAGGTCCAAGACTGTCATTCGATCTCCAGACTATTCACCCAGATAGGACCGTGACACCAGAGGGCGTTATGGTCAACTACGCTCCTGAGCGCCCCCTACCGAACACCGGATGTCGTCTGCGCGCTTATCCCGGATCAATGGCGGACACGGCTCTGGACGGGACTGGATTCATGCTATGGGTTGTGAAAACCAAGGTTCACATAAAACAGCGTGTTCCTGATAACAAGATGTTATTTGAGGCAGCTTTGACTGGTACGCCCGTAGATGCTCCTCTCAGTCAAAGAATTGATTCCAGTCTCGTTCTGGCTGGATGCGACCTTCACCATGAGCTATGCATCAAAATCAAATATTGCTGTAAAAATCTGGCGCATTTTAGTGGCTGCAAGAACGCCGCTGGGATTAACGCAGACTTCCAGTTTGGCATGCTTCTTGATTTTGATCGTCGCCGTCTTCACGTTCTTGATCTGATCTCGAACACGGTTGTGAGTAAAGCTGAGAGGATCAGTATTCACAAACCTCTGTGGTCGATATTCTGCGTCGGGAGATTCACGTACGCCGACGTCAAATTAGAGGTGACCTCTGCAGACAAGGTCAAGGTCACACCAGAGCTCTTTCAATTGTTGACGAAGGTTGTTGATCAAGAGAGAGCAACGAAGAAATAGGATTAGGATAGACAATCCAGAGTGCAACCTCATTTACTCGAAGTCCATGGGATTATGAAATGTATTTCTAGTTATCCGTAGTTTGATACAAGCGAAGTGTCGGAGAGATAAATGTTTATGTTAAATCAGCACTACTTCACCCATAGGCTGTCGAAAACAAGTAATTTACAAAAAAACAACATCAGGAAGAATACTTATGTACTGTATACAACCTTTGTCACACATGAGACATAAATCAACAGCAACTACACTATATATCATCAGCTCCAATAACCAAAGCTGTGCCATCCCACCAGAGCACATGGGCTTACAGTACACATGTCTCATTGTCGTAATAATAGCATAGCCGGATTCAGTGATATAGATACGGTTTTGCCTGGGCGAGTAGGCTACAGTAAACTCCCTCTATCTCGAATCTGAAGGACCAAACCTTCAGGTTCGAGATATGGTGTAATTTGAGATACAAACATGTAACCAACATATCTGTTTCAAATATTTCCTCTCGCCGTTCTCTCCCACCACGTTTTTACGGCACACAAAGGCTAACCACCATTTCACATCTCAGGTGATGGTGTAAATGTATCAAAAGGTCGACTGTGCATTGACATTAGTTCGAGAATACGAGGTTCCACTGCACTGACGAGCTTGAATACGTCTACCCTTGATTCCTTAACGGCCTGTTTCTTCCCAGGGATGGACCATTTCCCGTTACGGGGAGGAGGGCAGTGATACCTCCACCCCCAAATAACAAATGGTCGGTCCTTAAATGTCGAATATTCGAGAGACGAAATATTAACGTTACCTTGAGTGATGGGTGGCATGACTTCGCACGCATAGCAATGAATGATTATGCACTCTGTTCATCACCAATTAAGGACATCAAATCTTGTCTGATCAGTGCGCCAAAATAAGTGTGAGTGAGTGAGTATGATTTTACGCCGCTTTTAGCACTATTCCAGCAATATCACGGCAGTGGACATCAGAAACCGGCTTCACACATTGTTCCCATGTCGGGAATCGAGCGCGACGAGCGAACGCTTTAACCACTAGGCTATCCGACAGCCCCGTTAAAACAAGAGCACAGGTCTGATGAATAATATCCTTAAAATTTAGTGATGAAATATTCTATTTTATGGAGAGAAAACAATCATATTTTCGCTTGAGATATATACCAGTTAACTTGTGTTAACTGTCAGAGGGTATTTTCAGACTATGTCAGGAATATATGTTTTACAACATGGCGATTGGCTAAGTAACTCTAAGTAACTGCAGCGGTAGAGAGCCTAAAGATCTGATTTTAACGCGAGTACGAACGACATGGCTGCCCAACAGCAAATAACTTTAGAAATGCGGAACCGGAACCGAATTTAGCATGAAATCACATCAAGGGCATGGGCAATTTGTATTCGGTGATGCAAAACAGGCTTTCTTTAAGTGGCCTATCATAATATTTATTGAATTATTTATTGGATTGAGGCTGTCTCTCTTTACACAAATGTTTATAAATGATGTCTTTCGCAATTTCAATTGCTATTTTAGAGTGCGCACGTATCGAGATATTTATTGTGATGGGTACAGCGCAACACCAGATTTTTTGTATATATTTTGTTTTATTTGATCTAAACCAATGACTACAAACGCAGTTGTGTAGAATACTTGCATTGTTGATATGTTTCTGAGTGAGAATATATACACTGTTGCCTTATGGTGTACACACAAGATGTACTCTGGCCTTATAGCGAACACACCATGATTGCATGATACCGACAACACAGGGTACCTTAAAAATAAAATAATGAAAGTGAATTCAAATTCATGTTCATTTTGAGTGTGGCGATTTAGATTTCTTTGTTTTTACCTCCGGGATGGTGGCGCTCGCTAAAGAAAAGGGTTCCTGGGTGAAGCAGTATAGGAGTGAGTGAGTGAGTTTGGTTTAACGCCGCTTTTAGCAATATTCCAGCAATATCAAGGCGGGGGACACCCGAAATGGTCTTCACACATTGTAGCCATGTCGGGAATCGAACCCGGCCTCCGGCGTGACGTGCGAACCTTTAACCACTAGGCTACCCGACCGCCCGAAGCAGTATAGGGCATATGTATGCATTCGTGTCCGCTTCCCAGCACACTAACCCTACAAGGTGTAACACATTGCCTGCACGCAGAGATGTGGATCAGCGCTGACATTTGAGGGAACAGTTTATTTATATCAGATATCGGAAAATGCACAGCCTTATAGTACGGACAATCAGGGCCCTTTCTACATCTGTGTGTGCGCTCAGGTTTCCAAACCTTGTCCTCATGCTTGATTTGACCGGTTGATTTGAAAGAAGACCTATGCATTTAAACGCATTGTTTATTTCACAATCAGTGTAGTGAACGTTCATTAGATGTGGGCATAAAGTGATCGCGTTGTTATTCCCGACCCCTCCCCCACAACACCCCACCGCAAACACCACTCACCCAAATAGGGATGTTGTAAACAAATTACACGACTAGTCCTAATCATGCATCTTCGACAAATCATCATTTATCTCTCGCTCAGTGGGATAACATTTGAAACAGAAGAACGCAGTTGTGAACCAACTGTTTGACTAGTAGTGTTGTGAACTGAATTTTTAACTGGTAGTATTGCGAAGTAACTACCTGTCTCGGGTGTTGCGAACTGGTTCTTTAATCTGCAAGCACTGATGGGTTAATGAAGACCGCATTGTTTAGGTTGACCATGTTCTCAATGTTGCAATACGACGCTTCGTTATATTTTGATGAGTAAATGAAAAGGAATTTGCTATTAACACATAATCATATTATATGGCGCTTCAGCGCTTATTATGTCAAGTTTCATGTTTAATGGGCCGGTGGCCCCTTTACCGTAATAAACACACTCTCTCACTGGGATAGCAACGTCGTACCACATAGGACACAGATGTCTTTATGTTGATAGATGCATCACCATATAGCCTGTGTTATGCCGGGTCCGACTACTGTCAAAAGTTCACTGATATTAATACACGCATCATATCCGTGAAAATGAGTACATGCAGTCATACATTTGTTCACATGCTTTTCCTGATAACTTGTCACGAGGTGAATACAATTATATAACATATACTACTCATAAAAGGTGAAGACGCCAGGATTCATTTATATGACTATAGTTAATTTGTTCGGCATGGCATTACCGGAATAATGTGAAAGAATCGGGTGTTCCAGATTAATATTGTGCCTGTGCTCCTGCATGTAGTGTGTTGGCCATGTCAATATTAAATTATGGGGTATATACTCCATCAGTAAATTATACATTTTGATGTAACATGTGAGACAGTGTCATGGTGAGAGAAATAAAATATATATTTTCTGAACAATGTGTCATATATTTCTTCATTTACAGCGCTGTAAACACTTGTTGCAAAGTTGCATCTGATCAACAAGCAGCAAACAGTGGGTACCCGGTAGGAAGGGATGGTGTGAGTCATCAGCTGATTCAGACATTGTCTTTCATATATTTATACATTTTCAGCGATGTGTGCACATGTTCCAAAGTTATCCGTTATTCCAGCAATATCAGGGCGAAGGACAGAAATGATCTTAACACATTGTACCCTGGGATGAGATGGAAATATCAGGGCGGAGGACAGAAACGATCTTGACACATTGTGTGTTGGATCAGATCGAAACATCAGGGTGGGGGACAAAAAAGGATCTCGACACATTGTGTGTTGGATGAGATGGAAATATCAGGGTGGAGACAGAAACGTTCTTGACACATTCACCCTGAGATGAGATGGAAATATCAGGGCGGAGAAAGAAACGATCTTGACACATTGTATGTTGGATAAGAAGGATATATCAGGATGGAGACAGAAACGATCTTGACACATTGTATGTTGGATGAGATGGAAATATCAGGGTGGAGGACAGAAACGATCTTGACACATTGTATGTTGGATGAGTTGGAAATATCAGGGCGGGAGACAGAAACGATCTTGACACATTGTATGTTGGATGAGATGGAAATATCAGGGTCGAGTACAGAAACGATCTTGACACATTGTGTGTTGGATGAGATGGAAATACCAGGGCGGGGGACAGAAACGATCTTGACACATTCACCCTGAGATGAGATGGAAATATCAGGAGGGAGACCGAACGATCTTGACACATTGTGTGTTGGACGAGATGGAAATATCAGGGCGGAGGACAGAAACGATCTTGACACATTCACCCTGAGATGAGATGGAAATATCAGGAGGGAGACCGAACGATCTTGACACATTGTATGTTGGATGAGATGGAAATATCAGGGCGGGGGACAGAAACGATCTTGACACATTGTGTGTTGGATGAGATGGAAATATCAGGGCGGGGGACAGAAACGATCTTGACACATTGTGTGTTGGATGAGATGGAAATATCAGGGCGGGGGACAGAAACGATCTTGACACATTGTGTGTTGGATGAGTGGGAAATATCAGGGCGGGGGACAGAAATGACCTTGACACATTGTGTGTTGGATGAGATGGAAGTATCAGGGCGGGGGACAGAAACGATCTTGACACATTGTGTGTTGGATGAGATGGAAATATTAGGGTGGAGGACAGAAACGATCTTGACACATTGTGTGTTGGATGAGATAGAAGTATCAGGGCGGGGGACAGAAATGACCTTGACACATTGTGTGTTGGATGAGATGGAAGTATCAGGGCGGGGGACAGAAACGATCTTGACACATTGTGTGTTGGATGAGATGGAAATATTAGGGTGGAGGACAGAAACGATCTTGACACATTGTGTGTTGGATGAGATGGAAATATTAGGGTGGAGGACAGAAACGATCTTGACACATTGTGTGTTGGATGAGAAGAAAATATCAGGGTGGAGGACAGAAACGATCTTGACACATTGTGTGTTGGATGAGTTGGAAGTATCAGGGCGGGGGACAGAAACGATCTTGACACATTGTGTGTTGGATGAGATGGAAATATTAGGGTGGAGGACAGAAACGATCTTGACACATTGTGTGTTGGATAAGAAGAAAATAACAGGGTGGAGGACAGAAACGATCTTGACACATTGTGTGTTGGATGAGATGGAAATATTAGGGTGGAGGACAGAAACGATCCTGACACATTGTATGTTGGATGAGTTGGAAATATTAGGGTGGAGGACAGAAACGATCTTGACACATTGTGTGTTGGATGAGTTGGAAGTATCAGGGCGGGGGACAGAAACGATCTT